GAATAATATTTCAGTCTTAAAAGATGATGAAAGTTATCTTTGGAATATATGTTCAGAATGTAAATATATGTTATATATATAAAGCTTCATTTATCTCTATATGAATATATATATTTTTTACTTCATGACAACATTTCAAGTCACAGAATTTTCTCTCCCTGAACGAAGATACTAGTTTACCGTATGGAGGGATTGAAACCAGCACATTAAGATTTTCCTGAGAGAAAAGACGTGCATAGATTATTTTGTTTTCTTTTGAGAGAGCTCAATCTAAATTTTTCTGAAGTTTATCTTTGACACAGTTTGTCTATGTTGATTCACCATAAGAAAGCAGGTGAAGTGTTAGGAATAATTCCCTGTAGGATATTTTATCTGTGATGAGAACTTGGTTTAATTCCACTGTGAATCTGTTTACAGAGATTCTGTAAATTTTAAGAAAGTATAGACTTGGGCCTGAAGTCAGTTTACAGGTCTATCACTGTGACTCTCTGACAAGCGTAGGTGACTGGCCCTTTTCCTGGTCTGTAACAGATGAAGCTGGTGCCTGCCATGTCCCTCTGGATTCCCTGAGCTCACCTGCAGCTTCGATGGGAAGTCCCCATACAGACCTATTGCTTTCCCTTGAGCACTTGTGACTCTAACTGGGAGTCTGGGAGATTAATCTGACCCCATGAGTGGAGCAGGACAAAAGTGCTGGGGAGGTGATGCCCCAGGAGCAGCTCACAATAAATGAGGGCTTGAGGTCTGTGGATAGACACCTAGCTTCAGGCCCTTTGCGTCCTGGAGTTTTGACATATGCTCGCTTTGGTTTCTCAGAGGCCCCTCGTGACACTCTAACCGAAGTTGCTCATAGTGGTAATCTTGTTGTTAACACACACTTTCTTTTCTAAAATTTTTTATTAAAGTATAGTCATTTTACAATGTAGTGTCAATTTCTGGTGTACAGCATAATGTTTTAGCCATACATATACATACATATATTCCTCTTTATACTCTTTTCCATTATAGGCTATTATAAGATATTGAATATAGTTCCCTGTGCTATACAGTATAAACTTGTTTATCTATTTTACATTAGTTAGTATCTGCAAATATTGAACTCTCAATTTATCCTTTCCCACCCCCTCCCTCCTGGTAACCATGTTTGTTTTCTATGTCTGAGTCTGTTTCTAAGTAAGTTCATTTATAGGTTTTTGTTTGTTTTGTTTTTTAGATTCCACATATAAGTGATATCATATAGTATTTTTGTTTCTCTTTCTGGGTTACTTTGCTTAGAATGATGATCTCCAGGTCCATCCATGTAGCAGCAAATTACATTATTTTATTCTTTTTTGTTGGCTGAGTAGTTATTCCATTGTATAAATATAACACAACTTCTTCATCCAGTCATCTGTCAATGGACATTTAGGTTGTTTCCATGTCTTGGCTATTGTAAATAGTGCTGCTATAAACATTGGGGTGCATGCATCTTTTTCAGATTACAGTTCCCTCCAGTTAAATGCCCAGGAATGGGATTGCTGGATCACATGGGAACTCTATTTTTAGTTTTTTAAGGACTGTCCATACTGTTTTCCATAATGATTGCACTAACCTACATTCCCACCAGCAGTGTAGGAGGATTCCCTTTTCTCCACACCCTCTCCAGCATTTGTCATTTGTAGACTTTTGAATGATGGCCATTCTGACTGGAGTGGGGTGGTATCTCATTGTAGTTTTGATTTGCAATTCTCTGATAATCAGTGATGTTGAGCACTTTTTTCACGTGCCTACTAGCCATTGACACACACTTTCTGATTCTCCTCCCTCCCTTCTCTGACTTACTTCCCCCCCTCCTCACTGTGCTCTGTGATATCACCTCCCAAATAAACTCCTAGCACTTGTCTCAGGGTCTGATTTTTTGTCTTCCTGATATAAATGTTCACCTAATCTTATTTTTTTTTTAAGCCAGCAGTGTCACTTTTCTGGAGACACAAGATTGAGGGAAGAGGAAAGTCTCTGATTGCATTTATGAAGAGCTAAAACCATCTAAATTTTTACCATAGTGGCCATGGCCTGCTCTAGTGATTGCTTCTTCCCTTTTACTTGTATGTCTTCTGTGATTTGAGACCCTCTCTCCCGGCATGGGCACAAGTAATACATGAATGAAAATCATTTGTTAAGCTGTAAGAAGGAGTGGTTTCTTTGAGATATTTATGATTGTAATCCTTCCTTCCTGTTAACTATATATTCCTTGGGGTTTTATGACTATTTTAAATAATTGCCTGTGGAAATGGGGCTTAAAATATCGAAATTCTGTGGTCCACAAAGCCTATTATCATTTGCCCTTATTTTTCCTCTGCCCAGTCCACCCCAGTGTTCTAGCTTCCGTGAGATCAGGGACCTTGTTTGTTTTGTTTGTTGCTCTATCACTAATAAAATAACAGCAGAAGTGCCTGGAAAACAGTAAATTTTTCATAAGTATTTTTTGAATGAATCAACTTAACCAATTGAATTACTTAATAGCCTTACAAACTTGGACAAATTGCCTAACCTCTCTTTGCCTCAGTTTTCTCATATGTAAAATGGAGATAATGAAAGTCCCTCTCTTAAACGATTAATTTTGAGGTTTGAATGACATTTTATATGCAATACACTCAATGTAATTCCTGACACATAATAAGTGCTAAGAAGCATAGCTTTTATTATTATTAATGCTGTTAATTTAATATATATGTATTGAGGAATGACTATATAACAGATTCTATTAGATGGGATTACAACCGTGAAATATTACACACAAAGTCACTATGCTCATGAAATTGTAGTAAAGTAAATTTGTTATGATAAATAGACAACACTTATATAAATATTTTAACTTAAGGAAATTCCTTTTTTCTTTTCTATAGATATTGAAGAACTACAAATTATAAATCAGGTGAAAGTTTTTTTTTTAAAAGCACATCTTAATGACTTCAACAATATGAAGGTAGATTAATTGGGGGAAATGCTGAAGACATGGTGAATTCTTAAGAAACTACTTCAGTATTTCAGGCAACAGATAATAACAGTAGTAAAGTGAATGCATCTGAGAGACTTTTCTAGAGGAGGAAAGACAGAGCTGGTAGATGGCCACTCAGTGAAATGACAGGGGAAATACAGGAAGAACAGGTAGGGAAAGGGACGTAGGATAACTGTGTGTTCCCTAAGATCTACTGAAGAAGAGCATTGCAAAAGAATTGGGAGCCAACAGGAGCTGGAGAAGATGAAATGGTTCTTAAAGCTTTGCAGAAAGTGATAGAGGAACAAGACCTGTTCTTTTTTCTGGAGCAGTGAGTTGGGGAAATCTAGAAGTTGGGGGTTAGGATGAGAGGATGAATAAGAACTGGCGATGTGGCTGGACAGAGGGAGATTGTTTATAGAAGTGAAAGAGGAGATCAGGAATATTTTCTCAGTGTTTCCGCAAGGTGGTGTCTCTCCTTATTTAAAGGTTGTTTCTCTCATCACTTCTGTGTTCAGAGTGACTCAGTTTCCGATTCTACCCAGAATGCCTCTCTACAGCTCCCAAAGGGGAGCAAAGAATCTTGGTGTCTCTATTTAGTTAGATAGGCATCACCTTATGCTGGATGAAATACTCTTATTCCATCAAATCAAGGCATACTTTCCAACCTTTCTGTTGTCTTCTTAATCACTAAATGATAAAGATTATTTCCGTTAACAGAAACATAATACCATCATCACATTTAAAAATATATAAAAATTCTTTAACGTCCTCATATGTAGTCAGTTAAAGTTTTTTGTGCGTGTGTGTGCTTTTCTGACTCATTCATTTCTTATTTTGGCAATGTATCAGCCCTAAATTTTTATTATTTCCAGACTTAGTTCTCTTCTTCCTGCCAAAGTTAAAAAACAAATAAAAAATTGGATTTTCATAAAGGTTCTCCCATTCCTTTGGGGATTTAAACAAAATACCACTAACTCAAATCATCTGAAACAACCAGTTTCTATGATCCTGAAAATGTAAACATGTCAGCAAAATCAAACATGACTCATATATATGTAGCTCAAAGGTATTAAGGTCTAAAATAAACCCTGGAGTGTGCCTGCTTTCTAAGAGAAGAAAGGGCATTGCAAGTTCATGACTAAATGAAAGACTTCAGTAATTTGAATATATTTCCCAGAAGCCAGAGGGCTGAAAAGGTGGCTATGCAAGATGTGTGCAAACCTCCAGAGTATGAAAATTAAATATTTTAAAGGATAGAAGTTGTTTTTCCACTAAGATAAAACATCCTATGAAAAATACTTACTTTGTGGCAGTTGCTCTGTTAGGAATTTTACCTGTGTGAAACAATCCTCACACTATTGCACAAAGTAGGGATTATGAAGCCCACATTACAGATTTGTAAAGCAAGGTTGTCTTATGTACTTGTTAGACTTTAAAATGCATGGTCTTCTCATGACTATAACAGACTTTCTCTTCTGGTGTCATCAAGGTATGAGGTCACCAGTGTGAAGATGAGGAAAACCAAATTTGAGATATACTTATGTAAACATGATGCTGAGCTGTTGTCAATGGAGAGAATCTACTCTGTGCACCTCAGTGGCAAGTGTGGTGATGCATGCAATCTTAGAGCAGCTCACCACTTGCTGGAATTTGGTCATCGCTAAGTTTCCTATGCGCATGCATTTATTTAGCACTTTCCCCTTAAGTTGATACCCTGTATCCTTCAAAGTTCAGTCAGGAAAACATAGTCCCAGTATGAATTATATGAATGAGGGATTTATGATATTCATAAATGAATGTGCAATAACCTAGGGAAGTGAAAGTCTAAAAGGGGGAGTGCTAGACACCAGTCGTTCCATTGGACACACAGGTATGAGTCAGAACTGCAGGATTAAGTTGCTATATTTTGCAACTAAAACTGCGTAACACCCAGTTAAATTTGAATTTCAAATAACATAATTTTTAGCATAAGATATCCCATGCAATAGATGAAATATACTTACGCTGAAATTTTTTTCATTGTTTATCTTAAAATACAGGACACCCAGTTAAATTTTTATTTATCTGGCAACATGATAGCAGGAACATCTGAGAAGCCAAATATGTTCATTTCTGAAGTGGGACTGCAGAGGGGAAATGTGTGAAGAGTCTATGGAAATAGGTACCAGCTCTTTGGCTACACAAGTAAGTGTGTGGTGATGAGCCTGGGGCTGCTAAATGTCAACAGGGTCAGTGGTCAGGGAGAGGAGCTGGGTAATGAACAAAGGAGAGCAAGGATAACTGGGCACCTCTATGATGGACAGACATGATGTCTAACTACAACCACCTCTGGGGAATGACAACTTCATATCTAACTTCTAAATTGCACAGGGACCTCTCTTGGCCACACAGAAGGCAGTTTCTTGTCTTCGTGAAACAGTGTAACTCTGTGTAATATATCTGTCATTTTTGCCTAAAATACACACTCTATCTAGCTCTCTCACTCTCTCTCAATCTCCAGAGTTAAAAATGCATTTAAAAATGCATGGATTTTAAATATAGCAAGTTAGAAGCATACAGTATGTGGTGTTTTTCTTTTGGATCTGGCTTTTGTCACATAATATCATGTGCTCATCAATGTTGCTGCATGTACCTGTAGTTTATTCCTTTTTATGACTGCATAGTAGTCCATTGTATGAATATATCCATTATGAAAATTAATAAGTTTATTGAAAGGGTAACTTTATGCTAACACTTGAATAGAAAACCAGCATTGTTGTCATATGTACAGGTAAGCATGCAAAAAAATTACCATGCAAATGTAATTTAATACTAGTACTTTGTACTTATTTGTCAAGTGCTCTGAAACCCCTCTCATTTCCTTTTTTCCCTAATCTTACTTAGAGTGGTATCAACTATATATAGACACTGTCCAGAGACTCTTCTTTTTAAGTGATCAAAAGTACTGATGGATAAAAGAAAATTATTTTGATGTCCTAACCTCAAACTATCTAAAATAATTTTACTCACAATCAGTGTTAACTGTCACCACCTCAACTCCTCATGCACATTATGAGAAATATTTACACTAGAATGTGATGTATAAATCATTGGAAATCAGGAAATTGGGATATTGTGAGGTACCTTGTGGCCCATACTCCAAACACAACTCTAGATATCAGCTCTTCCCAATGCTGAGCCTGTGGCAAGCCTAGGAAAGCTTTTAGCAGGGCCTGTAATACTTCTCTTGGCCAGAAGCCTGAATTGACTTAATGAACCAGAGAGGGCTAGACTTGGACATGACTTTGGAAAAGCCAATGTGCATGAGGGTTTATCAAACAAAGGACACTTATTGAATGCTTAAAATCTTGCTCTGTACTGCTCTTAATGCCTGCCTGCCTGCTTCTGTGATCTATCTTCTTGAAGCTGGAAGCCATGTCCTTTCAATCTATGCATCTCCATTGCCTAACAGGGTACATAGCATTTGCAGGATACCTGAATGAATGGCAGTGGCAGTACCAGTACACATCATGGAAACAGAGTATCATGGCACAACCTTGATGAAGTTGGTGGAGCAGAGAGATGGAATGGAGGTGATGGAAACTCAGGTTGCCGGGTTCATACTGGCTTGTAGTGGGACTGTTAGACTTCAAGATGCTGTGTTCTGTTCTGCTCCAGCTGTCTAGGGAATGGACGTTTCTTAGGGTGAAGGTTTTCAAACCTTGCTTGAGTATTTTATCTACCAGTTAGCTGTACCTTAATGGAGTTGCCCAAAGAGACTCATTAGTGACAGGTGTCCTGGGAGAGGAGTTTATGATGCCTGAAGAGGAAAAGCCTCTTATTTGGGGGATAGATGGAGAATAGGGTTTTAAGAAAATGTTCTGTCACCTAGTTAAAAGACACTATATGACCTAACCATGGCCTGAAGAAGACAATAGTGTGTCTAACATTTGATAGAGTTCTTTTATAAATTGGCTAAGGACCTGCATGGGATATAAATGTTCTTGTTCCCAACTGGATGGATAGAGGGATAGATAGATAGATAGATAGATAGATAGATAGATAGATAGATAGACAGACAGACAGACAGACACATAGACAGACAGATAATACATATTATATTAAAATAATAATAAAATCTTAAAATACAACTTTAAGAACATTTTATAGGACTGGTACATTAAAAAGGATTTCTTAAGAAGTATTACTTAGTAGTAAGGTACAAAAATGGTACCCTCAAAGCTTTCTTTCCTGATTCCATGTTGGACAAGAAAAGTGAGACCTAATGACACATTCATGGGCTATATCACATTCTGTTTATGCTATTATCAGAGAAATATTTCAAAGATAGGAAAACATAAGGCACATTGTGAAGTAATCTATAAAAGCTCCCAGCATGATATCTGGCTCAGTAAGCAGTCAATAAGTATTAGTGTTTCTTCATCTATTAAGATCTCAGGATTAGGAACTCTTGTGCAGCCTGGAAAATGGAATTGATAACTATCACTGATAAAATAGTTTTACTTTTTAAAAATGCTTAAGACTGATAGACTTTTTTTGAACTTTTAACCTAGATTAGATCTATAATAATGAATAAATGGCAGAAATGGTTTCAGTGTAAAATAAACAGTTTTGTAGTGAATGAAGAGGCTGAATTTACCTCATAGTTTCTCCAGAGGAATCATTTTATTCAAGCCACGTGTCCACAAAGGAAGTTTTTCAACCGTATTTTGCTATTTGGCATGAAAATTGTTTTCTGACTCTATATCCTTTGTTTATAAAGCCTGCATGTTTTGATTTGCCTATAGCAGTGTCTAGTAAATGTTTGCAGGCTAAATGAAAGGAAAATTAAGCAACATGGGAGGCAAGGTGGGCAGGGACAGCTCCCCTTACTTAGCCAGAATCACCATCAGGAAAAAACTGTGTTGGAAACTTCCCTCAGTATATCAGGGGGAAAAAGTGCTAGTACTTTGAAAAATCATTTTTACAATGTAAGACCAACACTCAGCAAAACGGTTGCTTTCCCTTGCTCTAAGTGACCTTTCCCCTTCCTCCCAGGCCCTTTATCCTTATTGGTCCCATTTCTTTTGGTCTTGATCCCTGCCCCGGTCAGTGTAAACTAAACAATGGCTGAGGTGGATTAACCTGTCTGCTGGACCACACCCGTCTCCCTCAGGCTCCTGTTCCCATCAGATCCAATCCCCAGAGCCTAGAGAATTGTCTGGTATACCTACCAGTCTTCGCTATACTAAATTGAACTTCTGTGTCTCCCCAGAATATTTGCTTTTTATCAGAACTCTTAAACAGGATCAGAATAATACATCATTAATGCAAAACTTCAGGATTTAGGAGAGAGATTTTGATAAGACGTTCTTCCCAGCACTTTTCATGTGCTTTTCACGGAGTTTTGCCGCCTCTGCTTCTGGATGTCATCAACTTATTTTTCTCTTTAAACTTGAAGCCTCATTGCCCCTTTGAAATCATTTGTACCAATTGACTGTACATTGCCTGTTCTGCCAACCTATACTCTTGGTCCTCAAAATATCACAGTCTGGCCATGTTCAGACTGTTCTGGGGGCAGGGGTAAGTGCATGTTCTAGAGCATTTCCCATGGGGAAACCCAGCTTGCTAGGAAGTGGAGAAATGCAGCTTGCTGGAGAATGAGCCCATCAGACTCCACAGGATGTGTGTACTTTGGGATAAATAAATGTTGATAAATTGGTTCCATCTGAAGCCTTCTTTCTCAGAGTATGAAGAAAATTTACAGTGTTTCTCTTAAGTAAATGAATGATTGGTGGACAGGGAATAAATAGCAATTTTGAATTACCCTTAAAGATCATAAAAGTATTAACTCAATATCTTACTGCATATTTATAATCTATGAAATGTTTGCATTTTTCCCCATGTGGCTTTTTAAACTGGGATATTTATATTTACATCAGACCTTTCATTTGTTCTGCTAATGATGTTTGTTCAAACTTGATGGTCTTGAAAATGCATGACTAACCATGGTGTTGCACTATCATTCTTTCAGTTGCCAGTGGTTAAAAAAAATCAGCACTGGCTTAAGCAGAAAGAGGATGTATGGATGGTTTCATGTAACTGAAAATTTCTGGCAAGGATAGAAAGGGATGGATGTGGGAGAGAGAATTTCCCTGAAGACAGAAAGTGTGTCTCTTATTCTCCATTTTCCCCAGTTTATTCCAAGAGTTTGGTACAAGGCTAGGCCCAGAGTACATATTCAACACATATAAATTGAACTGATGTTAAATTAATATCTGATTCGGTTCTCACATTACCAGTTTTTCAGTTTACTATTTTGTTCAATTATTTTAATTCTACTAAGACAGTTTAAATTTTTTTTCAACTTTTATTTATCTAACTCTAATTTCGTTTAACTTCTCTTTGTATGTTATTGTTATCTTTGTATCACAGCTTCTTATGTTATAGATTCATGCTTCTCTTTTAGAGTGACTATATCTGTTAGTATCACATTAAATAATCGTAAGCTTTCTAATGTGCTGTCTCATGAGACTAAAGGGGTGAGGGAAGGGACAGTGGAGCAGAAGAAGAAAGCATTGAGGGTTTATGATGGTTTTACATGCTGTATGTGTATTAGCATTTTCAGTCCTAAGAGCAAATGCTTGAGGTAGAATAATTATCCCCATTTTACAGATGAGAAAACTGAGGCATAGAATAGTAAGTTATTTGCCCAAGTTTTCAGAGTAGGAGTGGAGGAGCCATATCAGGAACTCATTCATGTTAGTAAATTGTTGATTGGTTGGTTGCTTGGTTTTGGAGCTGAGGAAATAACATATCCTGTCTTCCATGGTGCAGTTTTCCTTCAGAGCTTCTATTTTAATCATTGGTGGGGTTTTAAATATTGATTTTTTTTCTCTATTAAGGAGAAGTGTATTCAAAAACTAAGCACATTTTGCAGATGGATATTTGAGTACTGGTTAAAACCCCTTTTCCAGTAGATAGCTTGAGAAGAAGTTAGTGCGCATGTTTCCTGACTGAACCTGCGTATGTAGCAGGTATGTCGCTAGCAAGCCTCATGTTCGTAGTGGGACGTTTCCTTATCCTACTAGCTATTTCTCTTACATGCTGTATGGGAGAGTATATGAAAAATTGCACTCATTGCCTTTGGCAGTAAGTGCTTGTGCAGTTTTCCACTGGAGTAGACCCTGGCTCCCTGGGCAAGA